ATTTGACGACAATTGCTTAACAAGTTTGCATAGAGAGCGCGGTAGCCATCGTGCAGGCTTAGCGTCAGTGCGTCGCCGTCACGAATCAGAGTGGACAGTGTGAGAGAGGGACAATTAAGTTTCACGTTATGAGCCACCCTTTCGTCTCTATGCACTGAGGGGTGAGGGTGGATAGGGAAGGTGCTTTGCGTGCTTGGCTCCGTGATGTTTCCTGGGCGATGTCCCGCTGATCCCCAAAACGACACACACAATTCATAGTCCCTTAAATGAATGATCCTGTCATGTGGACGGCACAGACAGTGGCCATCGTGGCCCCGCCAATAAATTTCAGCACGTGAATCCTTGATGCGTATGAAAATGAAACTGTGATTTTTCCTTTTGCCACACACTCACAGTCAATAAAATATTGATTCACATTTGTCCAATTTCTGCACACACCCTCTTGTGTACATATGTGTGTTGGACAGAATATATGGATTATTAAGCACAAAGCCAGACACTGGGGTGGGATTTCAAACATGATCAAGAAGAAATTGCTTACACACGAAAAAGGGGTCATTCAAACCACCAGAATTTGAGATTAAGATCTCAACTAGGTCTTACGACAAGACACATAGCGTCGCGAAATGTCCATCTTTTTGACTCTAGGACACAAGAAAGAGAAGAAACTCGACTCGAGCTCTCAAAATATCTATTTCTGCTCATAAATTTTTCTTCGACTCGACAGAACAGTCTCAGAAATTCCTTTTATGATTAGCCCTTTAACATGCTAGGCGTACTTTTCATCCCGCTCGCCCAAGTCAGTGCTCTGTGTGGCATTTGTTCACTGGCTTTATTGTTCTCGATTTTCGACCGATGTCGGGCTTGGGCGGACAAAAACCATCCACCTTCCCACCCCCAGAGCGCTTAGTGTCATCCTCTGGGATGATATTTTTGGGGTCGAAAGGGTGAAACTCCAATCCACACACAATATTTCATTCACTGTTTTGTGGAACATCGTTTGCCGGCCCAATACACAGCATTCATTAATGCCAGGCCAAGTCTTTTGGCCAAGGGGAGGGCAATTAATCGACTGACTGCACTCTCGTGGACCAAAAACACACACACACACAAATACACACAGGTTTTTTCCTTCTGACAATTATTATACGTTGAAAATGATTCTCCAAATATAGATGTTATATTCATTAGAAATTCACCATTATTGCGACCCATAAATAAATATATCATTGAGAACGCAGAACGCTTCGCGATGAATTAACAATTGCCTATAAATAATTCGTCCAGTGTAATTAATGACTATTTCATATTCTTTTCTCTCTCTCTCTTGCTTTATTTTTTTCCCCAACACATTTGGAAGTGGAAGGAAAAGCCATCAGGAGCAGACGTTGATCGTTAGATTGTTAAATTTCACAAAATGAGTCACTCTCTGTGACTGTCTTTTCCTCCCATTTCCTTGGTCGCACTCATCATGGACGCTAAAGCGATATAATCAGTCGTGTTGTGTGTGGATTCCAAGCCCGGGAAGTCCGGATGCACTTTTCACTCATCTCTCCATTGAATTGTCTGAATAGTCCAAATTCCACAGCAGCAACCATTCGGTTGACATGCTGTTCAAACCCATGTTCTTTTGAGCCCTTTGCGCGCACCCTGAGACGGTCGAAAAGAGTACACCCAAAACATTGTCAAAACATTCCGAAACATGAGAAATTTCTTCAAATTTTCCAATTCCTCTTCCTCCACTTATTTTCACTTAGGCAAAGGTCACACTTTCAAAATGGGAAAAGGATGTTCCGATACATTTGTCTCTTGATGACGGAAATTTAAATTATCATGTGTGTGTTTTTTTTTTCTTTAAGTAAATCTCTAGACATTCGTTACTTCTTTATACATTAGTGAGCACAAAAACCCAAATAATTTAAAATCAACTACATATCAATATTCCAAAATTATTGCGATTTTTTTGACCATTTCAAAGCAGAATTTAATTCACAAAACCATTTTTACTCTACGACGTATGATTCAAGTGACATCGTGATAAATATGTATCATGATTAAAAAAAAAAACTTCAAATACAACTTGCATTTTTTCGTTGGATTTTTTTTACCAACCCGGATTCATGGTAGTTAATTTCGTTGGGGAATTAATTGATTTCCCCACGTACGAACGTGAATATAAATTACAATCAATGTCGAGACAGTTCATTATTTTACCTGTGAGAAGATGATTTAAATAAATAAACATCTCGCATGGAAGACGCGTGTGTATGTGTGTGAAGGGGCGAAAAAAGTTGCGCCAAGATGAATGAGACGAAGATGGAAGGTGATCAGCAATTAGTCCATCGACTGGATGCCACCTTAATTACACTTACACTGTGAGACACATATATATATAGTGCTTGATGGCGGCAATTGACTGACACACATGAGATTGGATGTATGCTAAAATATATTGTATTGCTTTGAACTCTAACCTCACTGTCAAATCACTCAAGTGCCTATCTCACTTACAACTCTATTAGATTTTCTTTTGGTTTCCCCGCCTCGGCAACACTTTCTCTCTCCCATCTTCGTCACTAATTTCCGCTTCTATTTAGGCGGCAATAAATAATTGAGTTAATTAAGTTGTGCGCCACGATGTACACAGAACTTGATAATTATTTAAGGGAATTCTCTGCTCTTTCTCTCTTTCTCATGTCCCTCTCTCTCTCCTTCCGCGCGCCAGAAAACAACATTTTCTCCGGGGGGACGAGCTGAGAAAATATGATTTCCATCCTCTTTTGGGTGTGTTATATAGAAAAAACATAGCGCTTCACTCGAAGAAACTCCTCTTCAACTAGCCTGAGAAATTCCACAAATTCAAAGAGACCGTCAAGACGGAAAATCAAGAGGCTCGTCAGTGTTAAAAGAAAGAAACACAGAGCTTATTATTAAGAGCACAATCTATATTTTCAAGGAGTGTTTTATCTTCTTGACCCAGGATCAATCTGTTGGAAAATCCTCCAGATATAAGCAATGGTATAGAATGTGAAATATGAAGAGGTCGAATACCTCAAAGAAATAAACCGGTGAAAATTCTTCAGGGAGTCTCTCGCATTCTTTCCCCAAAAGACGCATTCCAATTGCCCTCTTTTCTATCTCCAGCTAATGATGGCCAACGCTACGGCGAGCTCTTCCTCCCGGTGTTGATAGTGAACTTAACCCATTAAATCTGCGGCTTATCATTTCATAAATATTCCCCACCCAGATTGGAAGATGACGAAAATGCGGAGAGTGCCACTGAATTGGTAAACTGGTTCTTCGCGACTGCAAGAAAATATGAAGATGATGATTTGGTATGCTGAGGCTCGATGGCTTATTGCCATTTCTTTCGATCTAATCTTTTACCATCAATGCCTGCAATGATGTACATTTCTTGCTGCAACGCATTTAATTATTTATTGCTACCCATTTTTTCTTGGCCGATCGTCTTTAAGTGCGCCTCTGCTCCATGAGCAGAGAACCCGTTCCGCGGGACAATCCTCTCCATGGCTCGCGTTTTATTTATTACACCACATCGTGTCGTTGTCCAATAGATTATAGTGTGCTCATATCTAGTTTAATATCCCTCCCAAAAAGAGAGAAGCGCAAACAGTGCGGTAGAAGGTGGAGTGGCATCGAAAAATAAACGCCATATATACACCACCAGGGAGAGGAAAGAATGAGGAGAAGGCCATTTATGAAAACACACGCCGAGGTATTGGAATAATCATAAATTTCGATGTTGAAAGATTCCAAGATTAATTTTCGAAACATTTGAGAGAGGGAGCGAGAGAGAGAGCGAGAGAACGAATTAGAATTTAATTACAAGACAGTGGAATGTGCTCAGAAGACCATGGGTAATACAGATGAGATGTCCGAGGCATCGGGGAAAAGAAAAAAAAAGTTAATTACATCTTGACAAACTGATTGTGGTGTCTCCCCAAGTCAGGCGATTATATTTATACATACACACAATCTTCTTCCTCTTTTTTTTACACCATGTTCGCGCGACTGATTAAGTATGGATTGATTTTTGTTAGAAATTGCCATCAGATTGAAGAAGACTTTCCATACTCTCCGTACAACATATATTGATTGCGAAAAAAAGCTCTTTATGCCACTGAATTTAGCAAGCTCGTAAGTCGTGTTCTATTCTTGGAAATCTCATATGTTCTCCCCACATATCTCCACTTTAGCGCCCCCAGATCGGCTTTCTCAGGGAAAAGTGCATGGTGAAATGTGACAGACATGTCTAAGGATATATTGTCACAATGCTGAACATACGGAAATATGAGTTTCTCCAATTTTTCACTCGAATTACTTCAAGCTTCTGCAACGAAAGAGTCTCTGTCAGACGTCGGGTGGTGAAATTGAGGTGGTGGCGGAGTATATCTCTTACAACACTCCCCCCCCAAATGCCGTGAGTGCGCGTGAGGGTGAGAAAGACAAGAAAGTGTACAGAGAGAAAGAATTTCGGAAAAGATTCTATAGTTATTCCTATGCCCGGGAGTTTAGTTTTTGGGATGAAAATGACGATGGATGGAGACTGAGCAATAGATACCGAAATCCCATGGCATCATAGCTGAGGCCATGGCTTAATATTTTGATGGAACACACCGAATGGGTTGGTGAAGAATATCTCTCTGCTCCTATCCCAAAGAACCCATCTATTCTTTGCGTCGCTTCTCCGCAATAATAATTTATTTAAATAAGCCCGAAAGCATATAAATCGAAAATAAAGATGTTCGACTGTGATAAAAACTAATAAAAAGCCACTCTACTGTGGCGATGGTCATAATTCAACTTGATTAATGATTTTTCTCTGTTCTGTGAAATGTTCGTTAAGTAAACTAATAATAATGCAAGATTATGGATTGATTTCTCTCTTCTCAATTCTCTCTTGTTGCGCTCATTTAGCTCCTCAACCAACAGTCTTTAACCATGTCTAATTTCGGGTGTTTTTCTTTCTCTCTCCGCAGGATCGACACGTGAAGAAGAATAGCGATGGTGAGCCTGTGGTGGATCCATCTCAGGACTACGTCCTCCTGCTCGGCTACGAGAATGCCACTCACACTGTCCTGCGCTTCCGCAGGAAACTCGACACTTGTGATACATATCATGACCTCCCAATTACGGTGAGTGTTGCTGGGTAAATGATCATTTGATGGAAAGTCCATTTGCGGAAAAACCTTCAGAACTGACATTGTGTAAAAGTGTTAATTTATCTCGTGTTACTCGATGCTGAAGCAACACAATCTCCCTTTATACTCTTCATCCCCTCTTCAGGGGCACAATAATTCGGTTCTTGTAATTTTAAAAACCATGGATGGAAAAAAAAGGGTTTAATTTTCTTTTTTATGGTGTATATTTCCATGAGTTATTCTTGCTTGAACTCTCTGGACGTGAAAGAAAACTCAATAGAGTCAAGGGAGTGTGCGGAAAACGGAGAAAAAATCGCTCTATAATGGGAAATTTGAGTGTTGTTTGTAGGCAAAATTTTTGAAGCTCAAAAAGGTCACACAGCAGCAGAGGGAGCAGAAAATTCAACGAAGAGATTTCTTTTGTATAACATAAATTAATTGGCACGGAAGATGTGCAAAAGTGGGTGGTTGTTGATTGTGAATTTTGTTGCGGGATAGATGACCAAGAGCAGTGGATCGAGAGTCCATTAAGTGCAGGGTGGAATGGTGGCATGGAGATGCTCAAGATATGGGGAATGTATATAAAATTCCATTAATGGAATAACAACAATAAACTTTATCATATTGTGTGTCGAAAGTTTGAAAAGTTTCTCCGATCTTTTTTTTCCACCCCCTCCCGCAAGGCACATATACTTTTCCTTCACTTCATTGTTGTTATGGAAAACTTTTCCATAATTATCGTATATATACACTTTGATCGAACTGCATTATCCCTTCGGGGTGGCGAGCGCGTGGGTGGCGTGAGTCCGAACAGCGAAGACTTCCGGGGCCATCAGGAGATGTTTTCTGCTTGTACAAATGATGATCAGTCCATCAAAACACCATCACAAAGCCTGGCGGGGGTCCTTTTCTCTCCTCTCCCATTTGTTTTTTCTGCTTCTTCTGCTGCCAAGGTGTTTGAGGATAAAAGGACGCGCGTCTTCGTGTAATTAAAATTAGTATCAATGGAAAGAACCACAGGCGAGAGTCCATGTGGAATTTGTCCCAGAAACTTCTTCTCCCGAGGAGAAGAAACTTTTAACGAGATCCACAAACATCCCCCGAACGGTGTACATTTATTCTTTCGCTTGTCCTCTCTCTCTCTCTCTCTGCATAATCACTCCCCCGTGAAGAGCCATATATATAGCGTTCAACCCCGCAGCGCTTATCATCAAGCGCGGCGTGATGAATAAAATGCGAGCGCGGTATTGTGGCAATATTATTTCAAGGAGGCACACAAACAACTCACCCTGTCAGCGCGTTGTTGTTCATCTATGCAACAATGATGTTAAGTCCTTCCGCATCAGTTGTTTGTCACGACAAAGCGTAAGCTGACTTTCCAACAACCCATCAACTAAAAAACCCTTTCGGCGGCAAGTGCGAAAGAAGACTAAATACTGTCACATAAGAATACCTATTCAATTGTTGCATTGTCTCTTTTCGCTATATATAATAATAATCCCTACAAACATTGGTTCGACAGAAAATCTTTCAATGAGACTTAAAAAAAATTACAAAATATCCAAATATTATTTATATACACAGTAGTGAAAATTAAATTATGACACCGAATTTTGGTGCTCAAAATTCGATATTTCTTTCAATTTTAGAGACATTTTCCTTAAAAGAAGAAATAATTATAATTTAATGGTCTTTCAAATTTTTTTTTAATGAAGTGTAGAATAGGAGCCCAAGTTAATTGTTAATTTCATAGGTGTCCTAACGTAATTTTCGCTACTGTACATACGTGCCGGACTTTTACTTCATTTTCCGCCACTTTCGTGAACAAGTCATAGTGTCTCTTGGCGCTTAGCTGCCTCACGTGACAAGGATATGAGGAGAATATGAAGATTTGCTGGCGTGCCAAGTTGCAATTTAGCAGCGCGCCATGAGAGTGTAGGTTATATGTGGAAATAAGGAATTATCACTTCCAGGTCATGTGAGAGCGCTGGAAAATTCAAATGCAGAGTCAATGGCACCATTAGTTTCAATTCTTAACGCCCATCGTGTGAAAGTTTTATCACGACCACTGGTGAAATTTTAATCAATTTCGTTTGTCGGCTCCATATAGCCAACGATGTGGAGGCTTCCCAGGGAGGCGCCAACAACACAGTGCAAGAGCCAAGAAATTACCTCACGGCCTCAATGGCGATATAGAGCAATTTCCCACCCATTTTCCCCCCACCCACCCACCGCCATGGCTTCCGTCGCGTCGTCAGTGATGTGAAGAAGGACCATTAGGTATTTTTTTGTTTAATCATTTAACCGGCGCGCGGGTTGGTGAGGCCATTGTCGAGACAAGAGAAGAATGGCTAAGGAGGAAAAATCAATTGAACCCGAAAGACCATTGAATAATAGACTTTTCTCTCCATCGACATTCCCCAAATCCATTTATATTGGCTGAGGCCATTTCTCTGGGAAATGGTGGTAAGTGGATGAAACAGTGAAAGAAAGCAAGTAATTGGCAATCGAGGAAATAAAATTTTCCCTCTATGGAAAATCCAAATGCTTAATGTGCAGAAAAAAAAGGAGCCGAGAAGCTGGGGGAGAAGAAATCGAGAGATGGTGCGACGGAGGAGAAGTGAAGAAAAGGAAAAATTGTGCGGAAAAGTGAAGGAAAGGGCGGGCAGGCATTAAAAGCCAATAAGTACTATTGCTCACAAATGGCGAAACTTCTCCTCTTTCTCTAAACTTCTCCACACCAGCATCCGTGCATTGTAGCCGAAGAGAGGAACTTTTACGTGTGCATAATTGGGTCCGTCCTCTTGGCGCAATTTACTGCTTCCATCCGCCCAAGAGAATTTATAACACCCCCTCACACCCGGAGGAACTCTCCTCTGTCTCACTCTCTTTCTCTGGTCCATGCCAATAAAATTTATAAGTGCCAGAAATTGGACCATTTCCTCCTTCTCTCTTTCACTACCCCGCTATCGGATGTGGAGAAGAAGTAGAAAAAAAAGAGAGAGTCACCCGGCACGTAATTTAACCCAAAGGCACACCCCAAAGCGCCGGGCTTTCCATCCACGCGAAAATAAATGACAATTTTGCCATTTCGGCCCATCTTTATTCTTTCAGCGCGCTCTCATCCAACAAAAATTGGAGCAATTGGCGCAAATAGGCGGCCATACTCTCAGTGTCACAACCCTTCCGGCTATTACGCTTTCACGTGGTCATCGACCGGGCACGGGCAATTGGGGTGGAAAAAGCGTGCTAAAATTAACATTTGCGGAGCAAAAGCACACTCTGCTTTCACTATAAAGGCCACTCATTGAGGACTTTTTTTGCACATTATTCTGCAAATTGCTTTGATCATAGAAAGCTGATGGTCATAAATGGGGCACAAGGTGAAAACAAGGGGTGAAAATGTGCCATTCTGAGTAAACCCGAGAGTTGCGAAGATTGCAAATTGCGCCTAAAGATTGTGAATTGCGCCAAAATATTAGATTTCTACTTGATTAATGTCTCTGTAATTAGATTGCGCTAAAAAAAATTGCAGATTGCGCCAAAAATTGCAAATTGCGCCTAAAAATTTCAAATTACGCCCAAAAAAATGCAAAATGCGCCCAGAAATTTCAGATTGCGCTCAAATATTGCGACCAAAAATTGTTGATCACAATTGGCGCACCAAAAAACTGCAGATTTTTCTCAAAAATTACGGATTGCGCCCAAAAATTTCGTATTGAGCCCAAATATTGCGCCCATAAAATGCAGATTTTTCTCAAAGATTGAAGATTGTACCCAAGAATGCTAATTGTGCCTAGAAATTTCCAAAGGACGAACTATAGACATCATTTTCAAGGCAAAGCAGGGAGTTATTCATCACTTTCCTGAATGACAATAGAATCCTGGCCACTGAGCAATTGTTAATGAGGTGTCGTGCAAGAGGCACAAATAAATCCCGCGCTTTTATTGTTAAAATCCACCCTCACTTGAATCAAATGCTCTCAATTCTGAAGGGCTTTTTATGGCTCCCCCGCAGGACGTTAATTCAAATGTTGTGCGCGCGAAAATTGGAGGGTTAACTATGGGGTAACACTGGCGAACGCAATAATAAACCTGCGTGCGTGTTTTGAGACCCGCGTGATAAATTTGTCAGAGTTTATGGCATTGTCGGCAGATTGGATGAGAGATGGTTCATGGCTGAAAATTTTGGCCATATCTAATGGCTTTTAAGGATAATGGTATACACATATATCGTTTGTAATTTGATTATATATACTCTGTGTCACCGAGAGGAGCAAGTGTTTTCACTCAAACCTCTTTGGCAATGACTCCATATATATATATATAGTGAAACCCTGAACGCGATGAAAGCCATTGGATACTGCAATAAAAGGGTGATTGTCAGAATATAATTTGCAAAATATAAATTGCCTGCAAAATTCCGCAACACGTTTTCATGCATGAGGCCACAGGCAAGTACTACCCATTTTGCCATACATATACACACATATTTTCCTCTCTGTCCCTCTTCGGGGGGAGGAAAATCTAATTTGTCCGCGTAAATCATCGCCATTCACATCGGCTAAATGGATTAAAAATTAATCAAACATTGGTTTTAATTACATATGAAAATGCTTAACTTATAACTCAATGAGAGTGATTAATTACACATGCAATTGAATTATGTGGTATAGTTTTTACGGATGGAAAATTTCAAGTTTCGCAAATTCATTCGCGCAAAACTTTCAGCGCACCAAAATCACATTAAACTTCCACCTCCCTTCGCCCCAAACTTTAGGGGTGCTCGCGATGAGGGCGAAAATTTCAATATGAGGATGTTCTTTGCACTACTTTTTAATTTATGGCTACTTCACGTGAAAGTTTTTCTCTCTCTCTTGGCTTCATTTCACTTTCAGATTTTGCGTGTGAAAGAAGTGTTTAAAGTCTTGAATTTTCACTTCCTTTTGGTGTGCCCTCTTTGGTATAAGGAAAAGAGGAAGAAAACGATGGGATTTCCAGACACTTCTAAAAGCTTTCCGGAAGCTTTCTTTCTTTTTTTCGTTTTTTTTCTCTTTACTATTCGTCAGGAGAAATGGTCACAAGCTCAATGTTTCACCCAAGCGCGCGTCTTCCTAATCTCGGCTTTTTGCAGCACTTTGAGCGTACAACATTCGAGGTATCCCATCAATTCAGCTTACGCACCCCTGTGCGCGCTTGACTTGAAGGTGATGGCAGAGGAAGGGCCACAAAAAAAAGAGGCACTGTGAAACAAAAGAGGATGAACAAATAATCTCGGATTACATAGGTAGGTTATGTAAGGAGGCAAATAAATTGTTGCATACGGAGGTTTACTATTTTCACTCAAAGTCTGCGTAGCACCATTTTTATCTCCCTCGAGCGCGATTGCAAGTTTACTTTTCCACAATGGCGCAATTCTCGCACTGGAACTTTTCCACACCGACTTTTCCAAAAGACACACACAATCTCCAAGACTTGGTATATTTGATGCGGAAAGTGCTCGGCAGTGGTACACATGTACAGAGCGATGGCATTTCGAGAGGGGCTGGGGCAAGGATGGCAAAATTGCCAAGATGTTATCAATGGCGGTGTCTTTTCTTTTTAACATTTGAATGGTGTGTCTCTGCGCTGTAATGCCATTGTGTGTGGTCCTCTGCGAGCGGAAATGTTTCCTCATTGACATAATTCTGTCTCGATTGGGTAACTTTACCTATTACAAACTTTCTGCCACCCTCACCCATTGATTTTTGCACTCTTCCCACCCCTCTCACCCTCTCTCTCTCTCTCACTCACAAATACCAATTTCTGTGTGAACAAATATTCACTGAGTCACACAATCACATAAAGATTCAAAGTTTAGAAAACGAATTGCTCGAATTGGGACTCCTCATCCCTGCGCAATGTCCTCCAGAGAGAGGCCCGTAGAGCACGAAGTCGCAAGAAGTTTTCTTCAACGAGACTATTTGAAGCTGTGACATGTCGATGGAAGTTTCCAATCCCTCACACTCTCTCTCTCTCTCTTTCTCTGTGTTTTGCCCAAAAAACCCCCACAGTAAATCCCAATTCGAAGCTCAAAAGCAATCGAGGGAGAAAGAAATCCTCCAATGCCTTTTCCCAGGGATAAATTTACATTTGCAGTTTGTCCAATTTCACTCCCCCTCCCCCTCCCCCACCTTTGGAACACACACATACACACAACCCAAATCCAATGGCTTCAGCATTAAATAACCAAGCGACAATTCAACAACAAGAGCAAGACATTCCAAAATACACAAGAATGCCAATTTGCAGTTTCATTACTCCACTAAAGAGCTTTCGCATTCCCTGGATGGCTCGCTCTCGCTCTCTCTCTGGATGTGAAGGGTTGCCTCTTGACGAGAGTCGCTGAAAGGAAGAACTTTCCATGAGCTTTTCCGGGGGATGCAATAATAATGGGGGTTGGGGGGAAAATTCTCCGGGAAACTCGAGCGAAAATGCAATTGAAATTGCAAAAACTCTGTACGATGACTTTGTGAATGGGGATATTAAAAGTAAGGGATTAATTATAAAATGTCAAGCAGAAATCTGGAGAGTTGAAAGTTTGGGGGTTGTACTCTGAATTAACAATGATAAGACCAAAAACTATTAAGAGTTCTTCAGGGGCACAAGGCAAAAGAATACAGCTGCATTTCTATGCATCTGTGTCACAAGTGACAAACTCTGGGTTTATTTATTAGTGAATCCATTTATAAAGATATTCCCAAGAATGTAATAAAATTTCAATGGATCTATGGATTTATTTGATTTTATATATATGAAAAATCCCATCAGACATCAAGCCGTTCATAGTTTAGTTTTCAAGAAAATCATCTGAAAACACACCATAAATTTCTCGTAATGGAATTGAGCAATTCACTTTAAGTGTATCCATCAATTGAAACCCTCTCGATATACACTCTGTGCATTCGTGATTTTGCTGTGTGTGAGGAAATGTAACACCACATTCTGAGCATACATATATCCAATGGGGATGTCCGTTGGTGGGGTGTGAGGGTGGTTTCCGGGTGCGGGTGTGTTGCCAAGTGAACTGGAATGGCATATTAAAAATGTAATCTAAGCAAATGTATGTAGATGTAGTCGACTTGCAGTGAATAAATTATATTGAAGAAACATATTCCATGTTTCACGATGACTAACCCTTGTAGTGGATTTCGGAGTGTGGAGATTAAGGCCATAAAGAATGAGGATTTCAGGCGAATATGAGTGCATATATTGTGCTAAATTGAGAGATTTACCACACAACCTCGACTGCGTTTTCCCCCATTCGGGCCGAATATCCTATTTTGGGGGTGGCTTTTCTGGGGCAGTCGAGGGGCAAATTGATGAGTGACATTGATTGTCACTACCAGGAATAAACAATTGACTCAATTAATGAATGATCTGCAGAGTAAAATCACGCCGTGTGACAGGTGACCGCGAAGTTGACTGTACTGAGAAATTCACTCTAACTTATGTTATATTCATGATATGTTGCCCTGAATTAAAACTGAATACACAGATTAAAATCCCTTGGAATTTTCATGAAAATTATGCGCGCTATTTTCTAAAATTTTGCACTTGACAGTTTATTTCTCAAATGTTACGTTGACTTGCAATGAATTAATGTTTTGATAAATTGTCTGGCTTCCAGAATGATACCATGAGAGTGATATTTATGTATCACGAGAACGAACCACGACGCGGTGCTGTCACGCCTGGCAGCCTGCCGAAGCCTCTGGAGGCGTATCGCGGCTACAGACCACTCTTCCTCACGCAGCGCGTCAGCCAAGATGCCATTAAGTTGGACCTGAAGATCAGAACGCTGGAGCTGAGGAATCAGGATGTGGAGCTTCCGCAGAGCGATACCACGCTGTATTGGTGCAAAGTGTTCAAGCTCACCGATATCAATAAGAAACATCACTTAGTCAAGGTATGTGTGTTTGTATGCAATGACATTCAGGATGTTCTGAACAATCCCAACCCCCTCCGAATCCCTTTGCGCCTTGCCTTTGACTGGTGGGGAGAATGAAAAGCCGATTGTTGCCACCGCCTCCCTAAAATTACAGACCCAGAGACAAACATAAGGAGAGAAGACACAAAGGGAGGTTCTCAGTAAATGTTTGCCTATTTAGGAATCGGATTACAATTCTGTGTGAATTTATTGGACTGGCAGCTATGAATAATATTTCCATAGTAATGACAACTCTGACATGTTGGAGAATGTTGGGTATTAGTTTCTCACAAATATTAATAAATGCATGACTTGTATGCGGAAGGAACTCGATCAAAATTCAATTGTACTTGGCTCTAATTATTACTAACATGTTGGCTCAACCGACACACACTTCTCTTCAACACTCTCCATAGCCCAATTACCAAGTATGGCCTCTGCCGGATGTCATATTATACAAATATTGCTGCAGAAGCTCATCATTCAGGAAGCACTTCATATGGCATGAAATTGAGACGAACAAATATATTCATGTATTGAAATTACCGGCAGAGGTGTTGATGAATGATAAGCTCTGAATGCTTTTGAGCAATCTTCAGACCGATAATTGCAGTTATCTTAAGGCTAAGAAAATCATTGAACACAAATTTGAAATTTTTCTCATTTTCTCCAATGCACAGAATATTTCTCTGAATAGAACTACAAATTGTGTCTGCTGATGGTATATTGTCAGAGTTCTCACAACTCCACCCACACACTGAGCAATAGCGTGGTTGATTCCTATTAAATTGCCCCGAAAGTGGGGAAAATCAATAAGTAAAATATTGATATTAGTTGAATATTATGTGCAGTAAATGGCATTTTAATGGGTGGGCGTTAGTGAAACTCACTGACATTCTGTGAAGACAACTTGAGGGCCAACCAGACTATGCCAATGCCTTGCCATCAGGTCACCCCACACACACAAATTTCACAGTCTCAACATAGCGTCGATGATAAATCAATAGGGTGGCACTGAGTCTCTCCCTTGTCGTAATTCTCGCGCTGTGTACAATAAATAAGGCCGCAGTTTTGTTGCGCTGGATTCCCCAAGTTCGATATCGCTGACCACGCCACATCGGATACCCCCAAAAAGTGGTCACCTATTTCCGCCCGAAGCATTCTCATATCCTGCGGGGATGCAGGGCTCTCTCTCTCTGTTTGCCACCCTCCGATTGTGTCTGGGGAATTTTTGAAATATGTGCAGAAACCTCGGTTGATGCACAGAAAAACCATCACAATCGGAAGACACTGAGAGAAAAATATATTCCCAATTTCCGGTTCAGGGATTTTTGCTTGTCTGTAAATCTCCACGGAGAGGGAATGTGCACTAAAGGGGTGATCATTGCACTGAAAAAAGCCTAGTATAATGACTGTTGCTCAGTCTCAATACGAAGACACGTGACACCGCGAAATGTCAATCTTTAGCAACTCTAGATGCAAGAATCTGTTTGAACAAATGAAGGAAAAGATCTCGTGATGCTCTGAAATGTACAGGAAAATTGAATTGATTAGCCTCACATGGATGGAATGAGGTAGAATGCTGGGGGTAATTCCTCTCGTGCTGAGGACGAGGATGATGAAGATGCGATGGAGTGTCTTCCTTGCATACACGCTGGTGGAGAGAGAGAGAGAGAAGAAAAGGGGAAGAGGGTAAAAAATGCCCGGAATTCCTCGAGAAACCCAGGAGATATAAGGATAGGAAGAAGAAATTAAATATGTGTGTGCCCAAAAAAGGGTATAAAAATAAGAGATGCACGAACGGAAATTTTATTTGTTCTTCATGAATTGAGACTTATTGACTATCACAGGAAGCGAATTCCCTATTTTCCCCGGCGGATTTTATTTGACTTGAGAGAGAAGACAGCGAAGAAAGGCACACACATACATATTTTCACTTTCACAAGCTGTTCGCGCGCCAAAAAAGTCGTACAGGCGAATATTTTAAAGTATGATGATTTTTCCATAAGTCCTCTCCTTTCGCCTATTCGCCGTGTAATTTTGCCCCATGGTTGAAAATTTAATCAAAATTCTTGCAGCGTATAACATACATAATTACTTTGCTCACCCCCGCGTGCAATGCCAGCAGCAAAAGTTGAAAGAGCGCGCAGCACAAGAAGTGGAGAAGCGAAAGGAGCACAAAAAAAAATTAATCACGACTTTAGAACACCACTTTCTCTCATTTCTATTCCTGTGCTCTCGTCCTTCTCCAGAGAGAGAGTCCTGGCCTTTGTAGAGCTCGCGCAATATTAAATGATTTTCCTTCCATTAGCATTTTCTTCTTTTTTCCTTTCTTTCTCAGGCGCAAAATTGTGTCTCATTGTTGGGGAAAATTTACAGTCACAAGGCCACGGAGAATTGGATGATTGCTGTCAGTATTTGGCCTAAAATTGCCCTAGATTTTATTAAATTCAGCAGCAGGCAGTTGAAAAGCACCCACCCCCAATAAATCTACCCCCAAAATTGTATATTCAGTGGAAAAATGCAAATCGCGCACGCTGTAAACGTGAAACCATATTATATATAGTTTGCAAATGAAGAATCATGGACAGTTTGGGATACTCACTGAGGCCCAAATAACATATGATAAAGACAATATCGGATTACACAATAAATGCATGCGATATGAAGGGAAAAAATGCCACAAATAACCTTTCGATTCAGTCAATCAACAATGCTTTATAGGTATATTATTTGAAATGTGCCTGAAATTAATTTTACTGTGTCAAAGGAATCAATCAGGATATGTTTGCACAGCACCGCGTCACTCAATTCTGACTATAATGATATCAATAAATTCATTCACCATCAGAATATCGCGCAGAAAAGCATGGAAAATCGCGTGATTTTAAAATGATTACCCTTACAAGAGTCTTTTTTTCCTCCTCTTTGTTTGTCAAGAGAACCTCAATTGCTATGTTGGCAAATGTTGAACTTCTGTTTTCATGACAATTTCCATCGATTTTTGCACACATCCAAACACACTAAATGCTTTCTAGCTTCCTTCTGGGCATTAATTATGCCTTTATTTGTCTCCTCCAGTGGGTTGCATTTATTTGCCTTCCGCGCCGTATCATCGGCGGAACAAGGGCGGCTTTTAGAGGGGGTGGTTTTTGGGATGTGTGGAATAAATGCAAAGTGTATTTTAATTGACACACTCTCCGGAAAACATTCCGCACATACACACACACATGAAATTGCATTGACCGCATAGTCATTTGCTGTGAGATACGCTAGAAATAATATTTATTCATTGTCCCATCTATTTACATGACGATTTGTCATTATGTTCACAATTTGCATCCCTTTGTGACCCGCGCGCGCTCTCTCTTGTCCCTGTGACACGTCAACAGACATTTTCTTTCTATATTTGCCAAAACTCCACCATTGATCTCTCATCCTGCCCATGTTTTCCCATCCCTCCAGTGGTTACACCCTCGAGTGTTTGACTTTGGAAGTCACAAGCTGGTAGATAGATAGCATTTGAGTTTGCCTTGGAGATGACAAAATTATACACTGAGAATTCATAGAAATTAATTGAGGAAATTAAAAATCTCCAGATATGTCAGGATATACAGTATTTATCAAGCTTTATGGGAACAAGAAAAATTATATGGCAAATTTTGAAGAGTAAATCTTAGCGATATAACCAGTAAATACCACAAATGTTTGATATCAACGAATCTCTTCCAGGCACAAAAATTGCTCCACCTAAAATAATGTACACATATTATCAAGTTGTGTCTTTGCGTGAAAATCCATCCGTTTGTGGTTAAATATGATGAAATGTTTTGGAATAAATCATGCAAATAGCAATTTAGTTGTGGCACAACAAATATTTACATGAAGACACAACATCAAAACGATCTCCTCTGTAGAATATCTTATATAAGGTGGAAGACTATGGCGATTTGGCATGACCCTTCAGGTTATTTGAAGACATATATACACATTCAGAAATACAATTTTCCTTAGGAAGCCAAACTGCATAAACACACAGAGTTTATAAGCTCAGATGTCGCAGCGCGCAATTCAGCCCTCGGAGACAGACATGGTTGAATAAATAGTCTCAAACAAATATGTATACACACGCAATGGTTTAAGAAGAGTTCAAAGAAAATTAAACATGATTTTCTATTAGTCACAAAAATTCCTTAATTCATCCACTTCTAGTACAAACCCTTTTTGGCTTTCTGTCCTTTGGGCGTTGTGCTCATGAGATTTGTCATTGAGGGTCATTTTAATGGTTGCCATGTCCAGTCTTTAATCAGTGACAAATTGACACAGAATTAAGACTGTAATTAAATTATGTCACCAGCTCACTCTCTCTCGATTTTCCGTTGCAGTACGAACCAGTGTTCGAGTCAACAGCCAGTCAACCGTACATGCATCACATCGTATTGTACGAATGTCAAGGATCCTCCAATGAGCTGGAGCTGCTGTCACGAGAACAAGGGCGCCCTTGTTTCCAGCCGGACAACCCCAGACAGTGCAACGTTGTGGTCGCCACTTGGGCAAGAGGATCAGAAGTGAGTACAGCTCTTTTATTACACCCACCCACCCTCTCGACGCGGGGATGCTCGACGAAATTAAAATCTCGTGCATGTGTGTGTGACAAAGGCGTCCCGGGACTCTGCTCTTGGCACAAGATATCCGTGCTGGCTCTTGCAAGGGATAAATCCCAGGGAGAGAAGATTGATGACACTCTTCGTTACTATGGAATTTTCTCACAAGCGCCGGAGATTTGCTCCATTTCTAACCATTGGCGAGGAGTGATTTAGAGCTCTTCTCTTCGACATTTTCGATTTCAACTCTATATGTATTTCCTTGTATAGCCAAGAATTTTATACAAAACACACACACATCAAATTGCTGGGTTTAAACCCCTTAATCACCAAAGAAATGCTATAATGGAAAAAAATACATTGATTTTTGCAAAATTCCACTCACAAACACAATAAATGATTGAGATTGCAAAACAAACAGCATTGAAAAGAGTTTAATGGGGATGTTTTATGCATTAAATAATTACGCAACAACCAATAATTCAATATGTGCTGTGCTAAAGCAATTGAGGGGCGCTCAATTGCTTCCCATTTTGTAGAAATTCTCTAATGGCGCGGGTCAAAAACCTTTTGGGATAAAATGTAAATTTGCTTATACGACTGAACAAATTCAATTACCATTTAATTTACCCACTGGAGAATGACTTTTAGCACGACGTCGTGTGATAAGATGACAATGCGCCCTTAAAGAGTCGCGCGACTTTCTTAAGGAGTCACACCTGAGTGTGTGTGTGTCTCTTCGTGGCAGTTAAACTCCCCTGTTTTTTTTTCGTTCTGTCACAAAATAATACCAACCACTTATTTGCTCGAACACGTCACAATGTCATTGATTGGGAAAATGGAAATGTGCAGAAAAAATTAATTGAAATTTACATTCAACACGCAAATATGTAATGTAGGGCAATTCCTCTCTTCAATTTCATTCTGGGCGCACACGAGGCATAAAAAAATCATGTACGTTTAATTGTTAAAAATGCATTTTCTCCACACACACACACATCGTCGCATTTGCCACCACTTCATTTGGGTGACCATCAGGCAAAATGCATCACATATGGTGTGGGAAATTGTGGTTGATGGAGAAACTGATGCGGAGAACGCGAAGAGAGAGTGGAGTGAATGTTGAAGAAAAGGGCGCGCAGAGGAGAGCTTATGAAGCAGCACTTCAATTTAAATGGTTTACCGGAAAATTTAAATAAATTCCCCATGAGGGAAATTGCTTACACACAATTCACATTGGAAGGCCAAAGCACTCTCTCTCACTGGCATTATGGGCCAATTACACAGTTAAGCCCTCCCCATGGGTTTGAATGATGAAAGTGCGGAAAATTCTAACGAACAAATTCAACGTTCTCCTCCATCTTGTGAAACTCTCTGCGCGCTCCTCGCCTCGTAGTTTTCCTGCTAACAATGAACCCATTTTCGGGGAGATGTCCTGGCCAATAGAGAAAACACTTTACTGTCCTAATCACACACTTCAGCGTCAATGTGCGATGTTTTCCCAATGCCCTGGCAAATCCAACAAGAATGAGAGACACTTTGTATCTCGTGTGGGACTTAGTTTTCGTGTTTCTCTGGCTTCCACTCCTCTCTCTTGAGAAAATGGGTTGGGGTGGAAACTCTTTCATTGAGGTGGGAAAATGGCACTGAGTGTGCACGAAGATGGTTCGTTGTATTGAAAAGCCGAGGGGGAGACAATTTACACTTGCTTAAGAGACTTTCAAGTACAAGAATTCACAGACATCCAGATATTTTTTTCAATAAGAAAAAAAATTATTTCTTTATTCAACGCAGAATATTTATTGTAATTTCTAATCGAAAAATAATTCATTTTGTCTTTAAATTATATCTCAGCCAATCTAAAGTTATGCAAGAAAATAGGGGTAGTTTTTAGTATGGCACTAGAGCCAGATACATAGTTTTTCTGAGTTTTTCCTTCAAATAATCCACCTTCAAGCTCAGGGACGTAGTACGAAATGGGGAAGCACTTGAGCGTCTTTCACTCCTAACAAGGGTCCAAGGTTTCTAAACCTACTTATTCGGTCACAAAGAGCTTCGCCGCCTTAATAAGCTTACAATCAATTCGGCCATTTCAAATCCACCCACCATCGAATGTATGCCAGCGCGTGGTGGAAAAGGGAGTTAAATCAATTTGAATTCTGTGCACTCCTTCGGTGGATGTTTATGGTACATATACCCCACTTTCGAAACCACTCCAGAGGGTGTGCAAATACAAAAAAGGGGTAGGAGAGCGAGTTGAGGGTGGGAGAAAATGGTGAAATTGTTGAGGAAAGTCTCAATCCGCCTTATATTTTTCTTCGCACACTCAAAAGATTCTCAACATTTTGGCTGGGCGAATGCAGAGAAGAAATTCAACTTTCTTCCCCCCTCAAAAAAACATTCAATATATACATATATAGAGGGAGAGTTGCTCTAAAAATCCCCATAGATGCTCTCTTCACACAATTTTCAATTCTCACGGACTCTTTGGCAGTGCCGAGACTGGTGAGGCTTATGGAGTCTTTCATTGGATGAAACACTAAAGAAATACACTTTACAATTTTATACCCCGAAAGACAAAATGATGGAGTATTTTCTCATCCCCTCTTCTTCACCCTCTCTCACATGTGAATTTTTTATCAACCACTATCTTCCAAAACTCTGCATGAGATATATATTTTGGGCAGAATATAATTTGAAAGCTCTTGGGGTCCTCCGCCCAAGGAGTGCAGAGGAATATATCCCGAGGGAGTCTTTTCCCTTCAACGTCAATTGAAGGGTGGGTGTATATTTTGAATTGTGCATTTGTGCCACTTTGCCGCGCGCTGCAAAATCACACACACACACTTCTTCTTCGTCAAGCTCAATTTATTGCAAAAGTTACGGAGTAAAGACGCCTGGGTGTTGTGGTGGATGGAGAGAGACTTTATAAGATGCGCTTGTTGGTAAACAGAAGAACATGTAATTGACTGTGCTTTGTCTTCCTCCTTTTGCTCACAGGGTTTCACATTTCCACAAGAAGTCGGCTACCCACTTGACATCTACCAGGCGCGCTATTATATGATGGAGACTCACTACCATCACGCCATGGACGGAGTGGGTGTCAATATTAACTCACCGCCGATGGTGGACAATTCCGGGCTTCGCCTCTACTATACACAGGCCCTGAGGAAGTTCGACGCCGGCGTTCTGTCAGTCGGTAAGCTCTCCTGCTCCTTCGTCCTTGCTGCAAATCTCATCGTAATGCTAAATTGTTTTATCATCTCTCTCTCTCTCGCCCCCCAAGGAATTGATCCAAATTGGCGCCACATCATCCCACCGGGTCAGGAGCGAGTCATCTCCGAGGGTCACTGCATTGAAGAGTGCACAAGACCCGCCTTCCCACCGCAAGGCATCAACATATTCGGCGTGATGATGAGAACTCACCAGATTGGGAAGCAGGTGCGCCTCAGGCAAATCCGTGGCCATGAAGAGCTGCCGCCCGTGGCCTCGGACAGCAACACGGACGCCAACTACCAAGAGTACAGGCGTCTCACGACACCCGTGAAGGCATATCCTGGCGACAGACTCGTGGCGGAGTGCACGTACGACAGCTCATCGCGCAAGGCCATCACGCTGGGCGGGAAGACGACACGAGAGGAAACGTGTCTTGTTCTGGCACTCTATTATCCGCGACAGAAGGAGCTCACGGTTTGCCATTCACTTCCGAGCCTTCCCACTGTATTGCACTCCCTCGGCATTGAGGAGTTGGCAGTGTAAGTGTCCTTAAAGATTAATTTCACTATTGCAGATGTCAAATCAAACTGTCCGCTATTTTGAACACCCCCAAATGACATTTTTCCAATTTACTCAGCCACTATGGTATGGATTGGGCCCAAATTCTAGCACGTTATAGCTGGCCTCAAGACCTTTCCAACGAACCACTACTTAAGGACCTAGGTCCTTCCAGACCGTAGATTTGAAGGTTTAAATTTTGAACTTTAAAACGATCTAACTACGGTTCTATTGGCCTGGTTTTTACGATTTTGGGCTCGTTGGAAAGCTCTTGCAAAAATCTACAACCATTTGAACATTAGAAGTTCGTATAACCACCGTGAAAAGCGCTAGGTGTCAATTACAAAATATTTGAAATTGAAATGCAAAAAATTGCATTTCACTTGATTCTGAGTAATGCTTTGGAATGTCTTCTTTCTCTCTTCATTTTATTTTCAAAAGAAAACTGAGTAAATAGAATTCTCTTTTTAGTAAAAAAGCCAATTTTTATTAACCATAGAAGAAGCCACATTTGTACATCATCTTTCCATATATGAAAATACACTTGCAAAGTGCTTATTTTACGAAAATTGAAGTGATTTGAGGAGTGCAGAAGAAGGCACTTTGAGATTGCATATTTCAAGAGCTCTATTTTCGAAAATAATTCCATTTTATATGTATAGCGACATGTTTTGTGGCTTCAATTGCCAAGGAGAAGATTTAAAATCACTCTTTTCTTTTGCCATGCATTCCATCAGCAACTCTCTCTCTCGCAGACATGGCAATAAAAGGAGTCACAGTGTTTCGAGAGTGGGCACAGAGAAAAAAAAACTGCTATATTTCTCCTTTTTCACATGGGGGGGTGGGAATAAATTGGGGAAAATGTGGAGAAGAACACCCTACAAATAGAGACTTATTTTTTCACCCCACCCAGAAGAAGAAGAAGAAGTAAAAAATCCCACCCACTGAACACTGCCAGTCGCATAGATATGTTGATGGAGAGGAAAATTCTCAGGCAAATGTGCTTTTCACATGACACAGACATATTGCAATGAGAAAATTCTTTTGACATGAAAAGGGCCTCGAGACTTTCTACCAAAAAATATCCTGGCAATGTGAGCGCGTGAGTGTGTCAAAGAAAAAGTTTCCTGTGTGCGCGCAATGCTGCTGCTTTTAAAGTCTGCCTTTTTGGACTATTCGCCCCCAAAAACATTCAGAGGGATATGGATTTTGGGTTGCATGCAATTTCACGGCTCCTTTTTCTCTTGCAGCAATTCAAATCCCGTCCTGATCCTGCTGCCGGCAGAATTGGCCGGCATGACACTGGAATCGCGCCTCGTGACGTACGACTGGGCGAATCAATTTGACAGCTTTCAGCGAATTACTCGCCGAGGGTCCTTTAAGCCACTCTGCTGGGGTGCCAAGAACACTTTAATTCCGGTAAGTCAAAAAAATACATACATATATAATAGAATTTAGGACCCCTTCTGTTGTCGACACCAACAATTCCCAATTCACCCAAAAGGAATTGAATTACACGGAAATTCACTTTTTCCGTGGTTATTTCCACCCTCAATCAATTTTTCTGGGGCTTTGTAAGAAGCGAAGGGGATGTGAATTGCAGGCAGGGAAAATTGGGGTTGTTTCTTTGATTGATAAAAAATAAAAGGACTCTCTGTCAATGAAGAGAGAAAGAGAGAACGAGGTGATGATAGTGTGTTTCCGATAAATAATTGAACATTGGCCACTTCTTCATTGTTTCTCCTCTTTCTTTTTTCCATCTAATCCACATAAATTTACTCTCTTGACCCTCCCTCTGTCACACACCTGAAATTTTTGGGGAAATTGCGTTGGAAATAATCACATTGGATGGACTGTATCAACAATATTGCCTCTGTGAAATTGATTTCAAGAGAGAGCGAGAGATTGAGAGTGATATCGGATGTCAGGAGGCAAATAAGGGATGTTTTTGTGGGTGAATTTAAGACATTTCTTTTTCAGTTCTCTTCATGTCTTCATGTTATTGAAATTATTGAAGGCTGATCGATGAATATATCGATTTAATAAATTGGTTTTTCAGTTGGAGGTGGAAAAGCCCCACGAGATGGATTCATTACAGGGTTAATTGGAAAACTTTTGGGTATGAGTTTGTCACACTTTTACCCACCCTCAAGTCCCCTCCTTTTCAGCATGGCAATCGTTTCAAGTTCTCAAGCCTTTCAGACGCGCTTCTTTCAACACACATTTTGTCTCATATGCGACGCTCGTCAAAGCGACAAAAGTGTGAATTAAGTGACTATGAGACGTCCTCTTCACATTTTCACTCTCCCTTTGATCATGCGAATCTTGTGCATTACCAACTCTTTTGCCTCTTATTACCACCCACACACACACACACTATATGTCTAAGGCCCACACATCCTCTTGACAGGAGGTACTCTCACAAAGGAGAGGATTTCAACTCTTTGGCAGGTGTGTTTCGGCATTCAATGCATTTATAGGGGAAATCACGCGATGCAACCTTATCAAAGTGAACGGGATGCTTTATGAGCTTGTCAATTGGAAAACCTTTAGCATATATATATATATATATACATACATATCATTCGCGATAACATACTCACTTTCGACGCGCGGTTTCAACCACAAGGGCATGACTTATTCATGCAATGCCGCGATTCCTTTGTCACGAGTCGCTGGCGAAGTGGATAAAGGATCCACTCATCAGGCGAGATGGTGCCACAAGAGAGGCTCAGGCTAAGTACCTTCGTATGCTGATGTCGCGTTTGATGTTTCTCCTCTGTGTGTCTCTTTCCCATGTGTTGTATTTCTTTTGCCACCAATCCTACACAGCAGCATTTCCCTGTGTCGCGATAGCGAATAAGGCGACGCCAATTAAAATCTTCGTTTTTTGTGCTCTAATATACACACACAGAAAAAAAAAAACACCCACGCGACAAAGGCATAGTGAAGCCCCTTAGTCAATGTGCGCGCCTACAACTCAAGCAAAACACAATGGAAAATATATGTATATATATATGTCAAAGGGAAAGCGGCACAAGGATGATACATTTATAGTGTAGTGGGATGTGGTATTCCTTTGATAAGCCTCTCTCTGTATATTTCTCACACTCCACACTATATATCGTCTGTCTGGGTGGGGAAAAGGGGGATGTTTATTCACGACAAAGAGAGATTTTCTTTAGCACATACTTTCCCATCAAAGGCCTGCATTTTTCACATATATCACTCGATAAAGTCCATTGGCATTTTTTTTTCTATCTGGCAATCTGCGAATAGATTCTTGTACACTGAGATTCAAACACAGAGACTTAAGAAAAGCATGCTTTTCTTCTTCAATTCAATCACCCAAAATAGATCTGTTCATATTTTCTAAAGTTCTCTTTTGATCAAACTTATTTAAAATCGCAGAAAATATGGTAATTAATTCAATGAGGAACTTTTTACGAACACATGCAAATTTTGGCGACCACGGAATCCCCTTATTTCTTTTTTTTCTTATTTTATTGACAGTTCGGGGAAAGAAGATGCTTTGGAATGTGTGGAAATTTATTCGTAAATGTAGGCAATAAAAGTGGCCCTTTGTCGAACATAACACAGGTACATAAATTACATGAATGCTTCCTTCTCGATGAAAATATCATAATGCCAAAGAGGATTGGGGAATGATTGCACGTCTTTTTCCCCCAACATCACAAGACATTGTATTTGAGTGTCTGATGCACGATACTAATAACAATAAAAGACGAATGAGAGAAATATAGTTTTCCGCCCTCCAATTCTTCTCTAGAGACGACGCCACACAGGGTGAGGATTTTTAAGGGTGAAAAATCCAATACAATTCTAAGAAAAGTTTTTGGGGGAATTTTAGACAATTATATTCAAATATTTTTCGCCTTGAAGATTCTGTTTTTTCCGCACTCCTCAATAAATCCTATTATGTTTCTAATACATCAATTTGTAATGGTGTGCTTGGCGCGTTATTGATTTAAATCTCCGCATTTGAGCATCCTTCCCTCGAGGATAACAGCAAATTCAATTGGTACAAATCTTCTTCGGTGGTTTTGCAAAAGTTTCCTTTTGCCGCGCGACGCCCAAGAAAGACGAAGTGAAACTCCCATGTGAATGTAAACGATTTTCTTCCACCAAACGGAGAAACTTTTCCTCTGCCATGCGGCAATTCGCGTGTTGAGCATTTTCCCCCGCACACAAATATAGATCTCTAATTCATTTATTTATGGTTTAATTGAACGATTACAAGTGATTCGGCAGAAGTTTTGCCAGCAAAACTCGTAGAGTGAAAACTTTTCCTCTTCATGCGACATTTTGGCATTTTCTCTCTCTCTAAATATGCGATATATATATATATATATAGATATATATTTGTTTAAAAAATTTTACTGCATCGCACACACTTTTGCTGTGGTACTTTTACTAAAATGCTGACTCATTGATGGATTCTCCGCTCTAAACGCCAGGAGACGCGGAAGTTGGGATGGAATTTTTCTGAAAATTGCGCTTAGTGAGAAAGTTTATCTGTTTGCCAATTCTGCTGGAGCTTTTTGTCGGTGTGTGTGTGTGTGTGTGTGTACGAGAGAGTCACCAAATTGTATGCTCCAGAGTCAATAAATCACATCCATTTGATTCAATTTCCCGTCGACGTGTCAATGTTCTCCATGCGGTTTGGCAAAACAAACCAATAAATTATCATTTTTCTGCTTCATTCAGCTGAAAGTTCCAATTTTTCATCACAAAATTACATCGTAATGCCTTCAAGTGCATGCAAAATTATATGTATATATGATTTGGTTTTAGAGACTTTTGCAGAGGAGCACGTCTTGACTGAGATTTCTCTCGGGAAATAATGCAATTTGAAGTTGTGATTTTGGTGTTGTTGATCTTCAAGACATAACAAAGACTCTAAGATATTAATGAGGATAAAATTGAACATTTCAATATGCAATTTATGCTTAGGAGACAGTAGAGTAATAGTATGGACAGGCTTTATTCAAATTCATCACATTCAAATCTACAGCAGTGGCAGATTTATTGTGAAAAGCGCCGCTTTACCCTAAGTTCTACACCATTGAAAGAGACCTTATATGAGACATGAATGCGGAGGCATTGAAGGGGTTGTTGCTTAAAAGTCATCTTTTGCCGAACTTTCAAAGCTCTCTCTCTCTCTCTCTCTCTCTCTTCCCCGCACAAAAGCCATGACGAAGAGAGTGGGAGTTTTGTGGATAAAACTCGTAATGATGAGTCCTTGTTGTTAGTTCGTTTAATTATGAAATGCACCGACAACTTTTGAAGTTTCCTCCACTCCACTGTGAGGCTTCTTGAAAGTCTCTGGGATTTATTTTAGCGCTTTCATTGCCGCAAGTTCTCCCTTTTGCACTTTCCGCCGCACATTTTGCCTCTCCTCTCCTCTTTTGGCTCTCTGAAGTACCAAGTCATTAAGGCTTAGAGGATTAATTAATACGTGTCACAGTACGCTTCACTGCAAGACATCTCAAAACTCCATAGGATGACCCTCAATGGCGCACACACACACAGAGGTCAGCGCAATCCGGGCATTAAAGTCTCGTGTGGTTGCAAAGTTTCTGTGTGTCCCCAAAAGTTCCCCGCCTTCTCCTCTCTCTCCCCCACAAAAGTACAGAATCCATTGAATTGATTACTTGCGCCACAGTTACTTGGCGTGCAGACGATAACTGGGCAGGAGGAGTGTGTTCAATAATTTACCTCTCAAACGGAGAAGGTTCTGTGGCGAAAGGTGAGGGTGGAAAAGGTGCAGAAACTATTAAGAAGTTGTAATTTTTAGTGTAAAGTTTCGCGGCAAAGCATGAAAAGCTCTTGCTATGCAATTTGACATTAACTTGCCAGCAAAATGGTAAAGAGTCAAATATTTTTCTGAGAAGAATTCTTCATCGTCATAGTTAAGAGACTCAGAAATTAAGTTTTCTCGAGTCTTTTTTTTCTTTTAACACTCCTAAATCAGAGATAACCCTGAAATACAATCATGAAGTGGTGATTTTCACGGAAAATCAATCCTTTTCTAGGTTATGTAACGACTCACGAATGGATTTAGTGATTTTTCGCACTCTATCACCATCAATTCTTATGCTAAAGTTGCCAAGATTGTTAGTCAATGACAGAATAAAGCATTTTAATTGCTATTCCTAACCATTAATGCCAAAAAATCACTGAAAATTGTGCTAAAATTGAAAATAACCTCAAAAATATAATTTTAACTTGAAAAATATTAATTTCGGAAACTTTCTGATCAATTTTTACCTTTGAATCAGCAATTTTGAGTTGATTTTGTGGTGTAGAAAGCTTCCAGGGTAAAAGAAAACTGAAAGCATTGGAGGCTCTCCACATCTTATTATCCGGACATAGAAATGTCAACAAGAAGGAAGATTGTGCTAGATAACATTTTATCACCTGAAATGCTTCGAAATGAGAAAAGACGCTCTGAAAAGCAGTTTTCCCCTTTGAATATCCTTATCATTTTGTCTCTCTAATCCACCCACCATTTCTTTCGCAGGGTACTGAATACATTGAGGCGCACAGTCCGAACTTGACCAAAGTGTGGCATCCGCCACTGACGTGTAGCTCAAAGACGCGCTTCGTGACGCAGAACAACCTGGATGTGCCCGTGCTGGAGGAGGACGAAAGCGCCAATGTGATCGAGGGCGCCGCGCGAAGCAAAGTGTCACGCAGCTCCGCCACGGAAACCATGGGCTTGAGCAATGCGACGAACCTAAGGCACTTTCTGGCACTGCTGTCGCCACTCGTGGCGCTGCTACCGCTCTTCATGGCGAACTTCATGGCACCTTAAGTGTTTTGGCGGGAATTTTGCTGCAAGCACAAATCCCAAAAAACACTGTAAATAATATTTGCTAGTTTTGTTGACTCTTCGCGCTCCACCCAAAAGTCCTTCTTCCACACCATATAGTTTTGTGAGTGTGTGTTTTATTCACCAAAAGACGGACAGAACTTTTGGGGGAACCCAATAAATTTTGACACGAAGCCATGAAGCGCGCGTTCGCTGATGAAAGAAGTGTGTGTAAACAAATGTGATTATTCAGAGGATTGTCACCTTTGAATCCCCCCCCCCTCTCCCCCCCAGTTTAAAGTAAGAGACAGAGAATAAGAAATTAAAGTGCATAAATGCATAAATTTGTAAATACTACAGTAAATATATATAAATTATACTCATAGGAGTTCCGAGGGTATTTTGTAAAAAGAAGAAAGAAAAAAGTAAGTAGATGAATGAATAAAATGTAAGAATTAGGAAACTTTTTGAAATCAACATTTGACACTTCTTCTTTTTTTTTAATTCTCTGTACAAAGATTTGTTTGTAATTCATTTTTTTTTTATTTCTCCTAGTCAGACGAAGATTGAGGGCTTTTGTATCATTTTAGTTAAGAAGTCTAATCAAAGTTTCAATTAGTTATGCAGTAGATATTTTTTTGTTTTATATAAAACATATTGTATGACCATTTGTGTTGTATACTGAATAAAACCATATATAAATTGATGTATAGGAGTTATTTTTTTTTTAATTTAAAAATCATAGATTTAGTAGATTAAAGAAATATGAATGACAAATCGTCCTGAATTCATCCAATGCAGCTAATATGCGAAGAATCATGTAAGTAAAATTTGTGTTTTCTTTTTTGGAAATACATATAAAGTGAATGCAAAGCATGAAAAATGGCATTGAGCATAAATAAGAGAATGATTATAAGAGAGATTTGTGTTAAATTGATGAACAAATCAATCTGATAAATTGAGTACTGCAACATAGTGTAAATATTAAAAATGTTTTATCATTACGACAAAATAACAAGGCAAAAAATCCATCACTTTTCCGCACTGAAAATCTCTTCTTGAATGACCAAGAAACACAACACTTTCTGGACCCTCTCATACTCTCTCTTCTCACTGCCATCTTAATCCATGAAAGACACTACTCTCATCTCCGCGGAACCGAAGGAGTTGGCAAAGGGCTCACATTTCATCATCGCTTAATCCCATGGATTTTGTCCAATAATGTATGTGAAATTCAATGCTGCAACACTTCAAGCCAGATCTCCTATATAAGAGGATGCCAATAGAATCGTTAAGTGAAGCACTGACTAGATAATTTTCCACTCTCTCTCTCGACAGCGCGTGATTTTTATCGGTGGTGGTTTTGTTGAAAGGCACTTCCGCGGAGAGGCAATTTCCTGTGAAAATTCCATCGGAAGCCTCTAATTATGTGACCCACAATTTTCCCATTGAATACCCAATTGTAGGGCATCCGCCCAGGTCGTTGATTGCACTTTCCACACCCGCAGCGACGCTCTATTCATTTTTATTGCCATGTCAATTGTCACTGGCTCTAATTTGAAGTTGGTTTTTGCGCTTTCATGCTTTTCTCTTTTCGCGCCACTCTCCATAAAATCCCGCACACACCCTTTTGCAGGACATATAGTATATTGACTTGCCCAAATATGATTTCTGGGTTATCTTCGCGTACCCTATATATTATGCCACTTCCCTAGTGTCCCCTATGTTGCCTCATTGTATATGTTTTTTGCTGTTACACAATAAATATATAGTGAGCTAAAAGGAGCTTAAAATAGCAAAAAGAAATCACTCTGTGCAATAATTGAATCGCGTGTATTAATGCAATAATTAATTTTAAAAAAAAAACAAGGTTACAATGATGAAAAAGGGTAACAAAAGAGCATGTAATAGTTGTGAAAAACAAAGAATAAATACTTCTCCTCGAACACTTATTTGATACTATTGCGTAGTTTGCCAAAAAAAAACATGAAGGAGGAAGAAATCATTCACAATGCATAACATAAGAAGAAAAAAAGTAATATTTATGAGGAAAAATAGCAGAAATCTGTCATTTAAAAAAAAAAAGAATATTTGGTGTAACTTGTAAAAGGAGAAGAAAGAAATCACATACACACAGAAAATATGGAGAGTAAGTTAAGATGATATATTTAGACATTTAGATGATGATGAATTATCCTGTAAGACAGCAAAATGTCAGTCTATGTCGTGTCAAATGAAATATTTCCACCCTCAAAATTATATACTGTGTAAATTTATATTGACAAGTGTAGTTTCGATCGCGATCTTGCAGCAATGGTTCTCGTTGGATGTGTACAATTTTTGGTCGAGAGAGGGTTAATTTTTAGTCAGAGCTTGACTCAAAATTCACTCTCTCTCTCTTAAAGTGCACAGTATTTCTGAAAAGCAATAAACACCCTGTAAAAATGAGAAAATGCCCCCACTTAACGGTGGAAATTGTGATAAAATCTGAGGTGAGAATGTATAGAGCAAGATGATCATGCGTTGCAAACCAATCACCAATGTGTAGGAGAAGGATGGATCTGTGGTGGTAGGCCATTGAAGAGCCCATAACCACCTTCCAGCACTCTGAGCTCGATCTTTTTGACAAGAAAAAAGAAAAAAAAACATTTAATTACATACGTAAGAATGAAAGTCTCTTGATTTGCATACTTGTGAGTGTTGTTAGGAAATAAAAAGAAGAAAGAACGAGAGCACGAGAAATCCTCCGATAGACAAATGATTGACCCTTTCAATAAGTTTGGTGCTAAAGATATTTGATAAATTCATGATCAATGGACAAGAAGGCAAAATTTCCCAAGGAAAGAGTCGTATTTTTTGTGTTTCACGTTAGAGCATAAAAAGATGGTTAGCACGTAAGAAAAGGTGTAACTTCAAAGTAGATGTCTCTCTCTCAAAAAAAAAAAGCAGAGGAAAGTGTCAATAGGAGATAAGATTTGTAAAATTTACATATTTAGGACATTAAATAGTGAAAGATGGCATAGAAGGAAAAGACTAATGAATGTCACCCTTACCAAAATGATGTGGATCAAATTGTGTGTACGATGGAAGAGTAAAAAAAAAATAAGAAAACGAAGAAGGAAAAAAAGGATAATCTCGTTCTTGCATGGAAAAACGTGAAAAATGCCAATTTTGTAAAATTGTCAAAAGCAGACAAAACACACACACGCAGTCTGTACGATTCAGGACGACAGTGTAATTTGTACAGTGTAGATAAAAGAAAGAAAGAAAAAAAAACTGATAGAGAAGAAAACTGCAACTTAGACTAAATATGATGACTACTATAGTGAGAAAAAGAACAACCACTCTCATGTAAAACATTTTATAAATAAAGTTGAGTATGAATAGTGAAAGAAAGGACTTGTACTCTTGAATATGGGAAGCACTGCGGCTGGAAATTTAATACATACACTCACCATATCCACAGGACAGTGAGATCCGAAAATTTCTGATTCTCCGTGAAAATTTCCCAGAAAGTTTTCTAAACAATAAATTTCCAAGTTCAAATGACTGTTTTTGAGGTTATGTTGAATTTTAACACAATTTTCAGTGTTTCTTGGTGTAAAAAGATAAAAAATCACTGTTAATTGCCAAGAACTTCCAGAATTTCTGTGCTAGAATGCTAATTATTCACTAAATCTGTTCTTTATTCTTTACATAACCTAAAAAAATGATTATTACGTTTGTTTCTGCGTAAAAATCGAAGGAAATCTAAAGAATTTGAATGAATTGACGGGAAAAAAACCTCTCAGGAAAGAAATATTGTAGGTTTTTCAACACAACCACTTCTCAAGTACTCCTGCTGAGCTGTACACCACTTCCGGACTGTATTATCTTCCCCTTGATGGTGAGACCATCCTCTCTTGTCGGGGCGTTGGTGTATGTGAACATATGAATTGCAAATGAATTTGTTAGCCTAATTTCGTTCTCTTCTGCTCTGTTTCCCTTTAATTTCACCCCCAAAAACACCCTCTGCCTTTGGTAAATCGATAAATGTTGCACGAGTGCGAGAGTGGCATTAAACAATAAAATACATTCATTTAGAGCCTTACAAGACGCGCGGCATAGGAAAGGCGCTCAAGCAGCGTATGCAAATGACAAGGTGAGCATAGCGAAGGTGAGAGATAATGAAAACCCACCCAAAATGATAAATTCGCAATCACCACGCATTCGGCATTCCCATGAAGCTTACACACACACACACACACACATTCCAGGACGCGGTGGTAGAATTCTATCCACCTTGGCGTAAATAATTTCTCACGCGGCACATTTTTGTCAAGAGGTGGAAAAGCGAATTAACACTCTCACACACCTTTTGTGAGGGGAGGGGGAGGAGTGGAAAATCTTGCAAATACCCCGTAAATCCCATGAATTGGATTGGTAATCTGTCTCTAGAAGCTCTCTCCTCTGTGCTTTCTGCACACGTTAACATTCTTACTCACGGCGGGATTGAAAGTAAGAAAGATTCAAGAAAAGTCGCAAATCTGACGATTTTTCTACGAATTAAAATCTCCCTCAGACACTTTTATGCAATTCACAGAAGTGGAGGATTTGTTTAATTCGCAAAATTGAAGACTTTCCATCATGTATCCTGTATCTTTGACTACATGGAGTTTGAATTAAGTTTACGAACCCCCCCCCCCCTTTCTCTTTTTCTGTGACTCACACCGAATGAGTCTCCATATAATATAGGAGGAAAAGAGTCCACAAGCAATTTAAGTTGAACAAGAAATCATTTAGGGAGCTTCAATGGCACTGAAGATGCCCTCAAGAATTGAGTGGCTCTCGGCAATGGACATTATTATGGGGTGTCCGTCTATCAATTGTGCTATAATCGACAGGGTTTGGCGCTGATGCCGCGTCAAAAATTCTGATCACGTGTATTTTTCATATCTTGCACCACTCCAACTTTATCCCTCTTCCCGGATATTGGCGACACTTTTTCACCCGAGGGCTTTTATTACATTCTCTCCTCAACTCGCCCCCCAGTCCCTTGAGCCATTCCAGAAATTTGCTCAGACATTTCCTTATGGACATCCTCTTCCTTCGGATATTGAGTTGCATCACTGACGATGAATTCCACGGAGCATTTTTAAACTTCATCCCCTTTCTGCTCTGTCGCCAATCTCACTTGCGAGAGTGTTGAAAGTCTTTGGAGATGGAGTGGAATTTTCCCTAATAAATTACATACATAGCAATTGCACAATTGACTGGAATAAGTTATATATTGGTGTGTAAATCAAAATTATGCGTGATAAGAATGACCAAGAGGAGATTATCTTCAGCATTCTCAATTCTCTCCATATATAGTTTTTGACATGATGCACTTAAGAGCATTTGAGACTCCTTTATGTGACGCTGGAAAGGTGTGGAAAATACGCTGAGCGGATTCAGTAACACGATCTATATATATACAGTGCAGGAAAAAGAAAATCACAGCCAAATTAAATCCATTTAAAAGGCTTCCCGGGTAAGTCTAATGACATTAGTGGGGCATTAAGAGCTTTAGCAAATATGGACTTCCTGGCAAGTCATCAGCACTCTAGTCTGTTCTGGTGCTAATATTGCACATAAAATTAATGGTATAGGAGATTTTATTAGTGCGCGGATGAATTTATAATGAAAATGTGAACGAGAAAAGCTCTCTTGTCCATTCGCGTTATTTTGTGATTTCGACATCAAATTGAATTAATGTGTTATTCAGTGGTTTTGCCACTGTGCTCAATTCCATTTGTGTCCCTTTGAGCGTTGGCAAACTTTGTCAAAACACCTCCCAAATTGTGCGCGGAGAACTCGCCTTTTGTCAGAGGAAGTAATTTTCCTCCGCACACACACACACACACTATGCGGATGCACTGTTGCAGAGCAAAAGGCTGTGCCGGAAAGCGAGAAAATCGTAATGTATGGGTGGCAAAGAGGACCCAGTGGAATTGGACTGTGAGAGCACGTGCCAATGCGAAGGCCTTTTGAAAATATATGGACGGCAATAGTCAGTCACTTGTGCAGAGAAAGTGATTTTGAGTGGTGCTGCGCCATTGTTGGCGACACACTCGAGGGTGTACTCATCTGCGGTGGTGAAATCTGCAATTTTATGCTTTCCCAGACACACAATCTTGACTCTGACAATTTCACGCGCGCCATGTCGAAATTACTCGATGGCGCAAGATTACAATTTTCGTCGCTCGCCTTTTATTAATTTTTAACAAGGGTTGTGTGTGTGTGTATCTGGAAAGTGTGCACAAGTGGCTTGAAGCGCCATCAGGACTAAGTAGTGGTTCTAAGTGGTGATTAACTTAGGCTGTGAGGAGTTCTAATGGGATTGCTCACGCTCTTAACTTTAAATTTAATTACTTTTCAAATTCCGTCTTATGAATTTGCTATACTTGACATTAAATCTAGCCTGGAATACTGACTGAATTATTTCAATTTATATGCTTAGATTTATAAAATTGTTAGCAAATTTTTGTCGATGACAAATGCAACCCCCACCGACTTATCAGCGATTCTAACAGCGCTAGACAAAAGACTGACATTTCGCGACGCCACGTGTCTTGTCATAAGACCTAGTCACAGTCTTAATACGTAGGTTACGCAGTTAATAAATGAAATATTTTCCAGGCAGTCAATAAATCTATCTATTTTAACATTCTCAGACATAGGATAACTGTCTCACTGTGCATTTTATTAGATGTATTTCCATCATTTTATGCTGCAGTTGTTGCCATTGAGAAATCCCTCAACAGTACAGTAAAAATAGTGTCACAGAGGACATTGCAAATATTTCCAATATATTAATATTTGCTCAGCATGTCAGGGGGGTGTCAATGGACAACTGTTTGATTGAGAGCCATTGTGTTGCAAGTCCCTGCTGAGGATGCATCAAAGGGAGTCCATGCAATTCGCCTTCCCACTGACTTGTGTGTCACTTTTAATTACATTTGATGACGATTAAGCACGTGTTCTGGGCCGTGGATGAGGGCAAATTCACCGAGTGATTGCCATTGTTGGCGGGCGCCAGATGCATTCTGTGTGCTAAAGTGAATTGTGTATCACAGAGTGAATATTTTATGAGGCTAACATGCCAAAAAGGAGACTTGAAGAGTGTTGTGTCTCTTGTGCTAGAAACCCCAAAGAAAAATGTATAACTATGTGTGTGCGCTCTCAATCTCATCACGGAAATGGATCCTTCACAGCGATGGTGATAGCATTTCACCCCCGCGCGGCGCGTCTTTGTGGGGATTCATTGTGACGTGGTCGCACATCTTTGAGCTGAACAAAGTCCCTTCTCACCAAAACACACTATATACTGCGGTGAAGTCTTGGCTCTCAGCATGAGGATATGGGATATTTATAGAGATTGAAATCGACCATAATAATCAGGAGAGAGCACTATTTATGGCTTTATGTACCCTTTTTCCCCGTATTAACGCAAAAGGACTGGCCAAGAAAGGGTTGATCATCAGAGAGGGTGGAAACTATAACGAGAAATTGCTGTATTTTATTTACTACTTTTGCTGGTTAATATTCTTCTGCTCTCACTCTCTCTCTCTCTCTCTCTCTCTCTCTCTCTCTCTTCTTCACTGAATTTTATACAACTTTGTGGAAAAAATTTCTGCAAAGAGTCCTTTCGAAAATGCAACCAATGATGGTCGACTTTTTTTATTGTCAACACAATTCTCAACTGAATGTGGATGCGAAATGCACAATGATTACACATTTTTGATGGTTATTTGTTTTCCGATGAGCAAGATATTCAAGCAATTCAAACATTTATGACATTCTCATTAAATACATATATGGCCATTGCGTTCATTCCAACATTCCAATAGCAACAAAGTTACAAAATTTGCAACACTCTATAAGAAACTTATTGACTATTTGCAAATTTCTTACTATATACTGTGAAAGAATGAGGAAATATTAGAAAAATTCTTCTTTTTTGCAGTATTTGAACATTTCTGACTGCTATACAAATTTCATACTCATGCCAGCATTAGTAATGATCATAAAGGCTGCCTCTGATGGTTTGTGGGGCAATTGGATAATATTGATTCAAACCACAATGAAACTAATTTAAGTCACAATGGTTCAATTCGGCATTTCATGCTAAATTTGATTGAACGTTTGTGTGTGTGTGGAAATCCACTGTCATGTGACTTGTTGTCTCGTATTTTAGGGTGAATATATTTATGAACGAGACCGAAATATGTATCGATAGGGGAGTTTTGGGATTCAATTTGCTGCGAGCTGAGAAAATTTTCTATACCCTTGGCCAATAATGGAATTAAGTGGATATGATTAATGCTTTTCATTTATTCAAATTCTTCACACCCTTTCTCCCCCGCCATCAGTGGGAG